GCAAACCGAGCCTCGTCTATTTATTTATCAACATTTCTACTTGCATGTTCAATTTTTTTTTTGTTTTTTTTTTGTTTTTAATAATTAATACTTTTGGTAATTTTGGGAATTTTATGTATTTTTGCTCTACTCAAATATATCATGAACTAAACAAGTTGTACGCGTTGGTTCATCATGTTGTTCTCAGTCCATTTTTTCCTGGGAAGTTTTTGTTGTCCAATTTTTAGAGTAATTCATATTAAATTAGCTGTAATGTTTCACCTTTTTCATGGGAAGTTTTTGTTATCCAATTTTGCACGGCACAAAATTGTGAAATACAAGAGACATGAAAAATTCTTTTCAGCCAATTCATTGCAACATTTTTTTTTTGGATAAAAAAGACTGTCATGGTGGTGGGCCCAACATAACATTTTTTTGCATTATCTGATTATTTAAATTCTTTGTTTTTAAATGGTGAAATCAAAGCTTGTGACTGACCGACAACAAAATGTGAGAAAACCTGCAGCCCAAGCAGAGGTAGTGGGCCTAACCTAGCGCATGACCAAAATTGAAACCACTAAAAAGTTGGTTCAATTGTGAAAGAAAATTAGTAAAAAATCAGTTAAATTTGAGACTAATTCATATCCAATTACACCCTTACTAACTAAGCCTACTGTTGAAGAAAGCAGCCCAAGAAACCCTGCTGATGAATCGCGCTGATCTACCTCTCTGAAGATCGATCTGCTAGAAGTTGTCAATTTATTCTTGTAACTTCCTCTAGAAGAATGGCGCGATCGCTCTATATGTGAACAAAGAACTTATAAGGGAACTTATAAGTATACTGTAATAAAACAACCGCCCATCTTGTTCCATCATCAAAAGACGAGTATTGCATGAAGACGTGTGGCACTTCCTAAAGCCCCTAGCTGATACATAGCATTTGTTGTACTTTCACATTTTTTCAAGTATAAATTCGACCCCTCAGGCCCATCGAAAATCAAGGTCAAAAGATTAAAAAATAAAAACATTGAACCTTCTCATAAGCCACATACTACATAATATACAATTTTCTGGAGAAGACAACTATTCTCCTTCTCGATCGTCTCAATAAATCGGTAAAATCTGTGTGCCATTATTTTTGCATTTATGATTTCGGTTTCATTTTGCCTACAATATCTTCTTGCCATAATAATATATTAATTTCCTACAAACCATTATTTAATTAAGGACACTCAATTAAACCGCCCCATATTCGGTATTTAATTATTTTTTATGCACCGACTGTAAAAAATGGTGCTAGCGGAATGGCGGTACTTTCCAACTGAAATAAAGGGCGGTCTGGTTGACCCTCCTATTATATGTTTTCATCTTGTTACGCTGCCCAATAAAAATTCTTAAAATAACTCTAAATATTGCTTTTTTGCATCATATCTCCATACAAAACTTTAAATTTACAATCCTTTATCAATCGTCATATTAGCCCACTTTCGACAAGAGTACGGATGGATTAGCTCACCCTCGATAAGAACGTCGAGAGGTGAAAGAAATGGTCTAGAGTAACGAAGGCTATCAAATAGCCGAGGGCCTAACGATGGATCTGACAAGAATATCCCATATGATTTTTCGCAGGTCTTATCCTTAGGATTTGCAACCATCAACCCAACGATCAAACTGTAATTATCAGGTGGCGACTTCTTTATTTTTTATCACGACCGTTCGAAGTTCAGTTCGCCAAGTTGGGTTGTTGCTGAAAACTTGGGCCCCAACAAAGTCACATCGCGAAGAGTAATCTTAATCCTCAGTATCTAACTCAACCGTCACAGTTAGTCGAGGCCACAAGCTTCATTCGTTACCCACGAAGAATGCAAGATCGATGAAAATAGAGTTGATATATGCAAAATGCTCTGGAGAATGATTAGGAAAATTATCATCCCACGAAGGAAGGATCGGCTAAAGGCAACTTGTCGATCATCATTTACTAATGCAAAAGAATATGGAAGCCAAATAGAGCCAATTTTAACAAAAAATCTTATAGATTTATTTTTTCTCAAATGTCAAAAGACTGATAGACCTGTTTAGATAGGCAAAGTTATCTATATGTCATGTAATCAACCCGAATGAAGTCATTTTCTGAACTTTTATGGGTGTTTCATGACATTCTTGTACTTTTAGCATGATTGTTGTACTTTTGCTATAAAAAAGGAATAAAACTTAAATCCCACAATTGTATATGGCAACTCAACTTACGGTGATCTCTTAAAAAAAGATCTCTTTGGTATCGAAGACCTTCTCAAGAAACATAGGTCCGTGGAGGATCAAGCGTTTACCGACCAAGAACTCAAACAAACCCCCACCAAAGATTTATAAACTATCACGACTAGTCCTCTCCTGACGGTAAGGCTAGACATGACGAATCCATTAGACTTAGACCCTTCTCGAGAGAATTTCTCCAATCGAAGCTGTTTCTCAGGATCGACCATTATCCCACTTGTGTCTCACAGCCAAATGCCAATGATGGCCAAAACGTTCGAGATCAGTACCCCCGGTGAAAAGTCAATTTTAGTCCAAATCGCGAGTATAATCTCACTTACGTCTCACGGTGAAACGTTAACAATGGGCGAACCATTCGACATCAGCACTCTCCGTGAAACGCTCGTCTTAGGCAAAACCACGGGTATAATCCCACTTACATCTCACAATGAAACGCCAACAATGGCCATACCTTTCGAGATTAGCACTCTAGGTGAAACGTCGATATAAGGCCAAATTGCGAGTGTAATCCCACTTACGTCTAACGCAGAAACGCCAACGGTGGCCAAATTATTCGATATCAACACCCTAGTGAAACGCCGATCTTAGGTCAAACCGCGAGTATAATCCCACTTACGTAGGCCAAACCGATAGTATAATCCCACTTACATCTCACGGTGAAAACGCCAATGATGGCTATATCATTCAACATCATAACTCCATGGTGAAACACGATCTTAGGCCAAACCGTCGAGTATAATCTCATATCTACATCTCACAATGAAGACACCCAACATGGTTAACAATCTTCTTAAAATCCAACAACGGCACCCTTCACAAATCATTCTCTCAAAACTCTTATTGCAAATTATTAAGACGCGTGTCGTCAAAAAACAATAAAAATTTGAGTGATTCTAAAACATAAAGCTGAAACACCGAAAGAGCTAAAACACATCTTTGTTCAAAATTATTTCTATGAAATTCCAAAAGGCAATACTAGGCCCATATTAATAAAACTCTAAAGATTATTGTTCTAATATCGCACTTGAGAAAATCTAAGTGGTAAGGATGTTGCATGCTGGCAGATGAAGGATCGACATCCACGCCAGTCTCTTCACCACCCCTCGAAGCAGTCCTTTGTGAAGTTGAGGCCTTATATTTACTCGTCGGAGTCACGTCATATGAGGTGATCGGCAACATTACGACTAAAACTGGATCCAACAGAGAGATTGGCTATGCACAACCGAGGGCTTTTGAGCTGGTGACCTTTTTTCACAATTAAATAAGTCAGACTGAATTAACTGCGTC